GGTGCGGCCTCACCAGCACCGAGTACAGGGGCACAATCACTTCCCTGGTCCTGCTGGCCACACTATTCCTGATACAGGCCAGGATGCTGTTGGCCCTCTTGGCCACCTGGGCACACTGCTGGCTCAGATTCAGCCTCTTGTCAACCAACCCCCCCAGGGCCTTTTCCGCTGGGCAGCTTTCCAGCCACTCTTCCCCACACCTGTAGTTTTGCGTGGGGTTGCTGTGACCCACGTGCAGGACCCGGCGCTGAGCCCTGTTGAATCTCTTGATTCCCTTTGTGACCATCGCTGCTATGATTTTACTGCCCAGTCTCCTCTACTCACTCTACCTCTTCAACCATCCCAAACTGTCCAGATATCCCTATAGCTGCCTCTCGGCGGACAAAGCAAAACAATCTCTTTTATAGCAAATGAAACATGCTGGTGCCTTGGACACATTATTCCAGAAGCAAGGACCGTATTCAGCGTGGTACTTGTTAACTAAATCAAGATTTTTAAGGTCTAACTTTACTTCTTTTCAGCAGACGGAAGTATTTAAAAAAGACTAAGCATTACTTAATGCTACCAGCACTGAAAGTGCTTGAGTTCTTTCTGTAAAGCTGAGATGTAATAATTGTCAGCTACTTAAGGAAATACTGCTTTTAAAGGAGTAAGACTAGGGACTAGGTTGGAATACAGCAGCAAAATCCGGACGGGGAGAAGCTGAAGGAAATAGCCGATAGGAAAGGAAGGTGAGCCAGGGACAGCGCACTGTATTCGGAGAAGTAGGCAAGGTATCAGTGGCAAAGACCTTGAAATCAGAAAGTGGGAACTTCCCCCCTGCATTTATGGCAAGGAATAAGTCGCCTAACAGGGCATAAAAGATTTTTTTTTAAATCATAACCATCTTTCAAAGATTTGATAATCTACTTTAAGCCAACACAGAACATGAAGCTCAGTCAAAATATTACATTAAATTACACAGAAATGTGGTTAACATCACAAGGAGGTCAGGTAGATTCTAAAATCACAGAATCAGAATTGTTTAGGTTGGAAAAGCCCTTTAAAGTTCATCAAGTCCAACCGTTCCCCTAACCCTGCCCTCCCACCACTAAACCATGGCCCTAAGCAATGTCCCTAAGCATTCCGATATTGAAGAAAGGCTTAGCGAATGAAATATAAACAGCACACCACTAAAAGTCAAATAAACTAATAGTTTAATGCAGCGGTAATTGAAAACTATGGCACATCTTTTCCTTTCATATATGACTCACAGAAGGCAGTGAAGGAACTTCTGCCATAGGACACTTCTTCTGCTGTAACCACCAGAAAAGCAACAATATCACACATAGAGCACACAGAAGTGTAGAACATGTATCAGCCCATAATTTTCCAAAACAATTCCAGACACCTAAAAATAAGTTTTTCATTAATCTTCTGGAAAACAGGATGACCCCATTTATATTTCACAAGTTACTTGGAAAATCGTATGATCCTAGATAGGTCCAGGCTCCTGTTCCTATATCAGTAAAGCTAAAATCTAGGTATTTATACTAATAACTATACTGCAAGCATTATTGCAGCTGAAATCCACCTGACTCCTAGTGCTGAACATCAAGGATGAATTGACTGCAATACAGAACTTTTATATTAAATACTGAGGCTCCCATTAAAATTCACTGATTCAAAAAGGTTATTCGAATGTTTTTGAGTAAGCCACAGTCTTAAAAATTGTTATGAACTGAAAGAATGTTATTCTAGGCAACAGGGAAAACACGCATCGCTCGCTGTTGACCTTCATCCTTGTAGGAAATGGGTGATTACACCACCTTGCTACTTAACGGAGTCAGCTGAAAAATAATGAAGTGAAAATGCATCAGCTTCTTTCGTAGTTCAGAAAATGGGAGCAAAATTAGGCATTAAAACCCAGAAATTCAGAGAGGATGCTATTAATCCAATCTATGAGGAACACACTTGTGTAGTCTATCGGACTTCAAAAGGCTACAGAAAACAACCCACTACGGAAACCTCTAAACCCAAATCCTAGGTGCTCGCTGTCTCTGCAGTCAGAAGCAACTTTGCTGTCGTGTACTGGCTGACGAGTCCTGCTTAGAGCCAGTTCTAATTAGGTTCGTCTGTGCCACGCTGACGACTCAAGCTCCAAGTTAGCGTAGCTGCGTGGGGCTCCCTGCTGTCAGGCAGCTTTACTAACTTCAGACCAGCTTGGATATCTCCAAAATCTGTTGTGTTCTGCTGTGTAAACTTGTTACAAACGTTTAAAATAAACTAGCCCAGATTTGCGATATAATCCCATCGATAAATTACCTGGAATTACACTGTGGCTATCTGATTTTAAGGCAATCTACTGACTTAGCTTTCTTTCAGGGGGGCTGTGGAGTCTCCTTCTCTGGAGATATTCAACCCCCGCCTGGACGCTGTCCTGTGCCCCCTGCTCTGGGTGAGCTGCTTGAGCAGGGGGGTGGGACTAGATGGTGGCACTGGGTGAGCTCCGGAGGGCCCTGCCAACCCCTGCCAGTCTGGGATTCTGGGATTTATATTATTATCCTTTGCTGAAAGAAAGCTCCGTCTGCAAGCTGCTTTTTAAAAAATTCCACATTCTCTAAATGCACCATAAACTTTCAGCAGTTTCTATATTTAAGTTTGGTTGTTATGACCCTCTTTTCAAACCACAATTTTATTAAGTAATATAATAAAAGTGTACACCTGCGCAGCTGAATTAATAGCTTTATGTTATTTTTCACCTATCTTGCTACTATATGGCCTGAAAACCTACTCCATCGTATTTTTCTCCGTGACACTTTCAAGCAGAGAGAAGCCTTGTTGGGAGCGCGCGTGCGTTGCCCGACCAGCGGCAAAGACAAGGCTGGACTGCACCCGCCTTGCTGGTGGTGTGAAGGCAAGGCTGAGGTTTAATTTTGTTTTCTTCTCTCTCCAGAGGCAGATTTTTTTTTTTTTTAAATTTATTTTTCCTTTCTTTTGCATAGGTTGAAACCGGACAAGAAAGCTCCGTCTGCAAGCTGCTTTTTAAAAAATTCCACATTCTCTAAATGCACCATAAACTTTCAGCAGTTTCTATATTTAAGTTTGGTTGTTATGACCCTCTTTTCAAACCACAATTTTATTAAGTAATATAATAAAAGTGTACACCTGCGCAGCTGAATTAATAGCTTTATGTTATTTTTCACCTATCTTGCTACTATATGGCCCAAAAACCTACTCCATCATATTTTTCTCCATGACACTTTCAAGCAGAGAGAAGCCTTGTCGGGAGCGCGCGTGCGTTGCCCAACCAGCGGCAAAGACAAGACTGGACTGCACCCGCCTTGCTGGTGGTGTGAAGGCAAGGCTGAGGTTTAATTTTGTTTTCTTCTCTCTCCAGATGCAGATTTTTTTTTTTTTTTTTTTAAAAACTTTTTTTCCTTTCTTTTGCATAGGTTGAAACCGGACAACAATTTCAATATATTAGGAGTTACAAACAGATCAATAATTACACAAGCCTCATTTCTCTAGGAAATCAGGCTGAAAGGGGCGCAAACACCATTTCAAATGACATTTTTGTATTAACCCAAACTTTGCTATTATTAAATAAATAAATAAATAAATCCTGCTTGTCTCCAGTGTAGAAGGTCAGAAAGTACATACTTCTAATGTGAAATCAAAGCGTATTTATATTGCTTTCAAGACCATTATAACAACATTCCAAAAAAAAAAAAATCCCAGATGGCATAACTTCCCATAAGATAATGCAAATAGTGGCGGACTGACTTAAGACAGCCACAGTGAATAATTCCCACTGGAATTCTTTTCCTGATTACATTACCGTTAGGACCATGTGTTCTTATGATAATTTGTGTGCAGTGTATCTTGGATGGTAAACTGATAATACACAATTTCAGCAGAAAAATTCAAATGGCTCATTTCTAAGGCTGCATACTTTTCATAGAATCGCCAAATGGTTTGGGTTGGAAGGGACCCCCAGAGGTCACCCAGCCCAACCCCCCTGCAGTAGCAGGGACACCTTTAACCACATCAGGTTGCTCACAGCCCTGTCCAACCTGGGCTGGAATGTTGCCAGGGATGGGGCCTCCATCACCTCTCTGGGCAACCC